GGGAAGTCCAAGATCAAAGAGCTAGCAGATTCGGAATCTAATGGGCATCTGCTTTCTGGTTCATAGATGGCTGTCTTCACATTGTATCCTCACGTAGTGGAAGAGGCTAGGGAGCTCTATGGAGTCTCCTCTATAAGGATGCTAATCCCATTCATCTGGCTCTGTCCTCATGACCTAACCACATCCCAAAGGCCTCACCTCCTAATATCATTACATTTGGAAAATAGGTTTCAACATATGAATTTTTAGGGGGACACAAACATTCAGTCTATAGCAGCTGGTGTGGCAGAAACTGCTGGTGTGTCCCAAATATTCACCTTCCCTTCTTCCTTGGCTATAGAGGTTCCATATTTACCTGAAGCCAGGAGTGAAGCCTGCATTTCCCAGCCTCCCTTGCAGCTATCTGTTTAGCCAAGTGATTAAATCGAGGCTACAGGGAAGGAAACAGAAGTGTTGGATGGAGTTTCTTGAAGGCTCTTTGAAAAGGAGGAGGTTAGTCTTCATCCTAACTTTTCTCCTTCATGTTGCCTGGACATTTTGGACCAGGAGGTTACCTTGAAGATGGCAGCAGTGTTGCAAAGCAGAGAGAAGCAAGTGGAGTCGCTGATGACTTTGTGGAGTGGACACTCCAGCCCTGGGCTACTCATTTACGGTCTTTTTTACGTGAAAAAATTTACCACCCTAGCTGGGTCCTTGTTAGCAGTAGACAAATGGAATTCCTAATTCATATGTCTTGTCTCCAATCTCCAGGCCATTATTCTCCAGGCCTGGTTTCCACTCTAGCTCGCAGTAACAACTCCACCTTTGCTTCTTCCTCTTTCTCTTCCTCCTCCTGCTTCAACCACAAATAATTTGACAATCCAGGGGCTTTACTAGGCCTAACTGTATAAAAGTTTCCATTCTTACCACATTTGTAATCTGTGTGCATGTCTATCTTTTAACTCAGGAACTCTCATGCAACTGTATTTAGTTCAATATCATTAAATGTCTGCATGAATGTTTATTTGATATCATGCTAACCTTCCCCAAATACCAGTGCTTGACAGAATGCACATATTTTCTATTTGCTAAAATAGAATCTGACTTCTAAACAGTGATATAGTGAAAAACAAAACAAAATGCAACAAAAATACCACATCTATTTTGCAGGAAGCCTCCTTGACTACCAGACTTTTTCTCTTTTTTTCATACCACGGTGTTCTTTATTTTCACATATGCACATCATATATTGTAATACGAAATGGATATTGACTGCAGCTGAGGTGAATATCCACATGTATTGACCTCAGAGGTAAATATTGACTGAGACAAAGGTAAAATCGATGCTTACCTTGAGGGATAATAAATCTGGATATCTATTGAAATAAGAAGTCAATAGCAGCATTGTTACGAACACTCGTGGTAATCGTCACTGGAGCACATTTGTACAGTGAGTGGTCAGTGGTTGTTCTCCAGAAAACTAGAGACAGTTGCAGGTAGTTCATAGAGACTGCACTGACTGCCTTGTTGCCACTTCACCTCATAATTAAAGCATAGTGATTAATCACAAAAACAATACGTAATTATATATGTGTTTTCCGATGGTCTTAGGCGACCCCTGTGAAAGGGTTGTTCAACCCCCAAAGGGGTCTCGACCCACAGGTTGAGAACCGCTGCTCTAGAGGCTATCGGTCCCTGCAAATGAAACCCATCAGACTTACAGCAATCCCCTCTAATTCGCCTTGCAACTCTTTTGTGTAAGTATTGTATAAAATGCATCCTGTCTCAGAGGCCCTGGCTTTCAAAACCGTTTTACTGAGTTACAAGACATTTTTCTTTGTCTTAACATACAAATTGCAGAAGAACTGTGTTCTATCTGCTCAACACCTAGTGCTACAACATATTAAATGGCTATAGCTCAACAAAAACAGTGTGTTCTATCAATTCTTCCTATCTAACCTATTCCATATCTATGTCCTTCCCTCCTTCCCTCTCCCCCAACATAGATAATCCTGTTTATTCTTCAATTAGCAGCAAAAATAATAGTTGAGTTAAAGAGTGATTCTTCTACTCTTCTTGACCTTCATCACCATCTTGGATCTGTCTTCCATATCAAGAAAACACCATCATTTACCTCTTTTAAGACTATTCGACACACTGGGTTCCTTCACTAATCCTTAGTTGAGTGTCTAGTATCTTCCAGGCATTCAAGTTTTTCTATATACTACATTTCTCTCTTTAAAGAGAGGAATTACTTCATTTATTTCTGCAATCCTAGGATCTATCACAATGCCTGAAACATAGAAAAAGCTAAGAATGTGGTATAATCATAGGCTTCTGGTAGGGTATGAGGTAACAAATAGTGAAATCCTTTTGGAAAATGTCAACGAATACCAACTCCTTATGGGAAGACCTAGAGTTTTCCATCTTTAAAAGAAAAAAAAATCGTCCAGCTAAGAAGCATCATCATGGTTAATGCCCCAAGTTTCTTATTCTACACAAAGAAAGGGGGAAGCCAGCAGACAGGATATTAAACAGTTAAACTAGGAAAAGCCAAAAGAAAGTGAAGAGTCACATACTATAAGTTACATCCTTACCCTCAGATGTCTGTATTTTTACAGGAAATCAGGGCATTTATCATCCAATTATTGGTTATCTTTACGCCATTACCAGAAACTCAGGCTTAAGCAACTACCTACCTCTTTACTGTAGCTTCTTCACAATATCCAGGGGACCTAGTATGGTCACAGTGAGGGAGGCACTAAAGAGTCCATCCCATTGAGGGCCCAAATAGAGCAAAATTCCAAAGAAAGAGGGTGGGGATTGCTTCTCTCTTCCTTGGACAACAGAGCACCTGGTTCTTAGGACTTCAGCTTGGACATACCCATGAGCTCACCCACCCTCCCTCCCTCCCTCCCTCCCTCCCTCCCTCCCTCCCTCCCTCCCTTTTTCCTTCTCTCCCTCCCTTCCTTTCTTCCGCCTCTTGGTTCTATTTCTCTGTAGAACCCTAATAGAAGTGACTGCATTAATTGAAATACATGTCTCAATATGGTTGTCATGTTCCCAGAAAGAGGCATTATAGTGTGCTTACTAAGCAGGATAGATGGGAGATAAGTGAGGGAGTTACTTCTTCCTGAGAAGGCCAAGGTAATCCTCCTCCTCTACCACCATCACTACCACCACCACCACAAGGAAACTGGTATTTCTCCCTAGGGGCCATTCCTGATGTATCTCTTTATTCCCAGCATCCTGCCCAGTGTCTGGTACCTGGTAGGTGCTCCATCAATTGATGTTAAATGTATAAGATGTTAAAGGCATTAAGAGGTACCCAGGACACCTCAGCAGGAATGAACACCAGACAAGGTTCACCCTCATTGAGATGCCCTCATCTAAGAAAAAAAAAATGGATCAACTGGTCCTGAAAGTGGCTTTTATAAGTTCCATGACTCTAGTAATGAGTGTCCCACTCCTATTTATGACCTCCTCCAAGCACGTTATGAGGCCACTTCAAAAATAAGTTTCAAGTCTGAGCCAGGGTGGATTCTGCTGCTGAGCAAGAGCTTCCTGAGAACCAGGCTCACTGGGTACAGAGCAGCCCCATCCTGTCCCCCGGGATAGCAACTAAGCATTTTCACCAGCAGCAGCCTCAGGAAATCAGCTGCCCGTTTAATGCAATGGCCTGAATCTTCATTATCTGCACCCAAAAACCATGAGTCAGGTCTCCTGTTTGCCAGATGTTACAACCTGTTGGAGTTTGGTGCTATTGTCACCTGGATTGTATTTTAAGGGCTTCAGCAGGAGCAATAGAGCCACCCAGGTAAAACATAGCCAGTTGTCTCACAAGTAGGGATCCTCCCAGCACCCATGCTGGCCAAGGCAGGCAAGCACCAGCACCTGGGTCAGCATCACCAAGAGGTGCATTAGAGCCACAGGGAGTCAGACACTTGTGCTGAAGATAGTCCCAAGATCATATTAATGTTTTATATAATTGCTACAACTACAAAAGAAGGGGTTAAATCCTTTGTAAACACTAATCATTTCCAAGAGAGAAGCTTGCTTGATTTACATAATCACAAGTAAATACGCAGAAAAAGGATGTCACTTAAGAGACTGAATGCTTCCTGACAGCAATGAATTGGCATTCATTGGGACACTGCACATTTACCAGGAAGAAGTCCTGGCACAAGGGTGTAAAACAGTTCAAGACCACATTACCCACCAGGGAATGTTTGTCAACAGCTCCTCGGGAACGAGGTCAGGGCCATGAGCAAGCACCACTCTGTTTGGGCCGCTTTACCCCTCTACTTCCCACACCCGTGCCTCAGAATGCTCAGTGGGTTCCAAGCCAAAGAAAATGACATTTCTTCTGATCAACATCTCTGTTTACGGTAATCAGGGGAGGGCAGCAAGCTAGTCTCAGGATGCCAAGTGATCGCTTGTTTTCAGGATAATCAATAAGACACTTATCTTGAAAGATTCATGCAAGTTTGGAATCAATTATGAATGGGATGATGATAAAACTCTGAGAGAGAATCGCTTGAATTTTTAAAATTCTTATCAGAGTTACACTCCATTTTGTTGGCTTCTCTGAAATGTCAAACAAATTTTAAAAAGAATACTCACTATATTATGCCATTATCAAAAAGCTGGATTATGGCATGATTTAGTGGGCGTTTTCAAGTTCAGATGTTGTGGATTTTTAGTTTAGAAAAAGGGGGGAGGGATTTCCCATAGAGTGTATGAAAGGAGGCATATTGTTTACAGTAGGAAAGACATAAATTTTAGACCTAACAAACTTGAGTCTGAAAGTGAGGCCCCACCTGTTACAGATCAATGAATTTGGACATATTACTTAACCTTCCAAAGATGGAATTCCCTTATGTCAAAAAGATGGTAATAGCATCATTGTAGAGTTATGGTACAGATGAAATGAGATTATCTATATGAAAAGTTGACCACGATCCCAAACATGCAATAGGCACTCAATAAATGTTAGTTATTCCTGATATTAAAATTCTTACTTGGTCTCCTTGAACAAGTTACTTAATCTTTCTGAGTCACCATTTTCTCATTTCTAAAATGGAAATAACAAGTTAGTTGCAACGTAGTTAAGGAGTTAAATGAGATAATGAGTAAAACAGCATCTAATATTGCAACTGGTAGATAGTAAAAATGGCAAATAATTGTACAGGAAAAACTCACTGTTTTCCCTTTACTCTCACACTCATAATAGTTCTGACACCAGATATGAGGGAGGTATTTCCCACTCCGACATAAGCAGTGGGTGTCCTAAAACTCAACTCACTGCTGACACTAGCCAGAGTTGGTACAGACCTCATAGGTTAAGGGCTCATTCCTACAGCAGTGAGGCACCTGTGGAATGCCACACTACAGAGGCCAATCTCCAGTAGTGGGACCCCAGGTCACCCCAACTTCTGACATGGCTACAAATCCAAGGTCCTCATGACTTTCTCCTTGGGTTCAGCGATTTGCTAGAGTGGCTCATATAACCAAGGAAAACAGTTCCCTTACTCTTGCCTATTTATCACAAAGGCTATTTCAAAAGAAACAAATGAATAGCCAGATGAAGGGAGACAAAGGGTCAGGTCCAGAAGAGTTCGGAGCATAGGAGCTTCTGTCCCTGCAGACTGTAGGTGTGTCACACTTTGTGGAGGCTTCATAGGTATGATGGATTATTAACTTAATCTCCAGCCCCTTTCCCCTCCTGGGAGGATCAGAAGATTTTACTCCTGCTTGTTCTCTCTGGTGATCAGCCCCTACCCAGGAGCCCACCTTCAGTTACCACATTAGAACAAAAGATGCTCCTCTCACCCAGGAAATTCCATGGTTTTAGGAGCTCTGTGTCAAGATCCAGGGTCAAGAACCAAATATTAGCAGGAGCCAGGGGCAGAGGCATATATGTATATCATTATCTCACAAAAGTGTTCAAATAGAAAATAAAATTAAAACTATCAAAAAATTTAATTTTAACATTTCATTTTACAAATAAGGAAACTGAGGCCTAGAGACTCTAGTCTTGGCCCAAGTCACTTTAGAAATTATTTCATAGGTGGGCCTGGAATCAAACCTCTTGAGAGTGAGGGAGATTGGCAGTGTGGATGGGAGCATAAGACTATACAAGATTCCAGAAGGTGAGCCATAATGTGGCACCAACAGGATCAGAGAGCAGGCTGTACCATAACTGGCAGTCTATACCTGTCTGGGAGTTACTGGGGAAGGGAGATGAGCTAGGCAGGAAAAGGGCCTGTGGTGTGACGTGATTTTGGAGAGGGTGCTAGTTAAGTCAAGGAGTTGTGGCAGGACCACCATGGCAAAGAAAAGAAAGGAAAAATGCAGAAAACATGGGGACTGGGGAGTCTGGGGCTTGTCTGACTTAATGCCAAGCACTCCTGGTCAGCAAAGACCAGCTAAGGGCCATCAGTGGATGCAGCTTTGGGAGGTTGATCAAACACTTTACAAGTAAACCCCATAACTAAGAGGCTGGTCTACAAAGAGACAGAGTGCTAAGGAATTCCCACTTTCTTGGCCGACAGTTGTGGCAATGGTCTCCATTCAGCTTAGGATCCTACCACAGAAAGAACAGCTGCCAAGGCCTGGTCTCTGCTTGGCCCTAAATAGATCAACATTTGGCCTGAGCTTGCAGATGACTTTTTATGGGCCACACCATTTAAGCTGTCCCTGTGGTCAGAAATAGCCTGGGGGTGGTCAGAACCACAACATTATAAATCTGATGCTATAATTAGTTCCCATGGACATGACTGAAGAATGTCTTTTTTGGTTCAGGTTTTGAGTAATAGATCCATAACTGCCTTTGAACAGGTCTCAGCAGAATCTGGGAATAGGCCAAGTGGTCATCTCAGCCTTCCTCCATCACCACCATCTGGCCCTTAGGCACCTCAGCTGTTGGAGAGACTTACTTTGTGCCTTGCCTGAGGCAGGAGGAAAACTCTCTTGGAGAATGGAAAATTCTCTCAAATAGTTTCTTTTGAGGTATAGCTTGCATGCACTGAAGGGCACAAATATTAAGTGTACCGTTTGATGAACTTTTACATGTGTACACATGCATGGACTGTCACTAGATCAATACATGAAACACTGCCCAGCATGCCGGAAGGCACCCCCTTTGCCCCTTCAAGATCACCGCCCCACAGACAGGTACAGGCTTTTCTGACTTCTCTCACAGGGAGAAGTCTTGGCTGCTTTTGACCTTTAAATGGAATCATACGGTGGACTCTTTTCAAGTGTTTGGCTTCTTTCAATCAACAGTAAGCCTCACTCTCAGACTTTATAACATATATTTAAATAGCACCTCTGGCCCTGACTGGTTTGGCTCAGTGGATAGAGTGTCGGCCTGTGGACTAAAGGGTCCCAGGTTTGATTCCGGTCAAGGGCATGTACCTTGGTTGCGGGCACATCCCCAGTGTGGGGGGTGGTGCAGGAAGCAGCTGCTCGATGCTTCTCTCTCATGGATGTTTCTAACTATCCCTCTCCCTTCCTCTCTGTAAAAAATCAATAAAATATATTAAAATAAATAAATAAATAGCACCTCTGTTCGCTTGTCTTGGGCTCCATTATGGGCTGGGCTCAGAGCAATCCTCATGTTTAATCCTCACTGCAAACTCGGCAGATGGGAACTATTATTCCAATTTTCCTGATGAGGAAATGTGAGCATAGAGAAATTAAGGGACTGGGTGCAAAACCCCAGGCTGGAAATTAGCATATTGGGATAAATGAGATCAAGTGTTTAGATTCCAAAATCCATATTCTCTCCTCTTGGCCAATTTGGTTTTGACTCTTAACTCTGGGATTGGGAATAATTCATGTAAAGTTCTTCTTACAGTGCCTGACACGTTGTATGTGGCAACAAATATTAGCCATGGCGATGATGAAGATAAAGGGGATAATGATGATTATGCTGCGCCTTGTATTAATGTTGGGGAAGCAGAAAGGAACAAGACATATAATAAACACATAAACAGCTCTATAATGATGTATCCTGACTCTGAAGGGGAGAGATGGGTTGATTTGGGCCATGGTGCATGGTGAGGCTTAGACATGTCTGAAATGACATTTTTCTTCTTGAACTGCGGAGAACAAGGCTGGAGACCTTCAGCAATGTCACATAGCAGTTATTGAAGATGCCTAAGATATTCTCCCAAATAGGTATGCAACACTAACCAGCTTTGCTCTAATAAAGCTCTTCACCTGAGAGGCTCAATTACACCTGCAGTGGGCTCTTCAGAAAGAGCATTTAAAAGGCAGCTTCGCCCTTGACTCTTGAGTCTGCATGTCAGAAGCACTTAACTCAAACACTTTGGATTACCAACAGCAATCAAGGCATCTGCTCCTGGGCCAGACCACCCTTGCGTGGTGCTCTGACACTGAAGGCACTTGTAATATCATTATATTATCATTGAGTCCATTGCCGCTTGAGAAGATGAGCTTGGGGTCCTGATATTTCCAGGCCTCCTTTGAAGGAATCTCTGCCAAGTACCTCTTCCCACCAAACCTGCAATCTATATTCCATTGTATGACCTGAGATTCTGCTTCAGAAAAAATACAAACACACACACAAACTCCACTTAATGGGTTCATTGTGATTCTGCCTTCCTTTGAAGACACTAGAAGGGCACCTCTTCTTACAATGGCTTGGCTAGGTTCTGTTGTGGGTGCACAAAGCACATGGGAATCTTGTAAAAATTACTCCTGTGTACTGATATTTTCTTTGGCGCTGCCTCAGTAGGATTAAGAGAGCCAGTGTGGATCTAGCACCATCTTGGCCTCATTCGTTTGGTTGAACCACCAGGTAAAGCACTTGCCTGGGTGCTTTAGATCAGGTTATTACAGAACGTACATCTTTAAACACTTCACATTACAAGATGCCCCCACTAAGAGGCTTGCAAGGACAAAAACTTCAAAGGACAAAGATTCCCATTTTCTTCAAGAACTCTGCTCAGGGAGGAAAAGGAAGAAATTTGCCAGCACTATAGGAATTCCTATTTGTCTTGTTTAAAGTTGCAAGCGAGTAAGTTAAACGTGTACTGGATGGCATGAACTGAACTTCCACTCAAGAATGTGAAATGTCAACAGCCAAGTTCTTCTTTTCATTATCTCCATGTCCTCAGCAGTAGCAGAGCTCCAATGCACAGATGGGTCCCATTCAACATCAATGGAATGCTCTCTCATAACTGACCTGCCAAGTAATAGGTTACCAGGACATTTTGCAGCAAGAAAAGAGATAAGGATCCTTGGGTGGAAGTAGCTGGGAGCCACAGTTTAGCTCAATTTGGTGAAGTTCTTTCTAATAATTATAACTTCGCATAGTAACAAATTTACTATTACGTAGGGCTTATTAGTCATCTGATGGAAATGACGTATCAGGCTAATGTTAGATTAATCAACAACCAATGAACTGAAGACATCTTGGTGAAGTTGTCATTGGTCATAAGGAATCAGAAATGGAAGGACTGCATCTAGTTTTTCATAAAACTAAATGTACCGAAATTTCTAAGCTGTCCTTACACACCAAAAGACAACACTGGCAAGACAATCAGTATCAGCTCATGAAAAACAAGACTTTTTGGCAAAATAAATGACAAAGGTAAGCAAACACTGATACTTCCTATATATAAGAAATGCGTTGATGCCACAGTTCACCTATATTAATATAATTAACATTTTTTTTTAAATCTATATCCAACAGTCACCACAGATGACAAGTATAACCTAACCCAATGGCAATTGCTAGGAAGAATATAGATCTTACATTATTTTTACCTTCACCTGACATACTTTAGCCGTATATTGACCACTTAGGAACATTCTTCTGGCCATAAACCCAATCAATAATTCACTGGTGCAGAACATATAACTACATTTTCTGCTCATAGAAACCCATTGATAATGAGTGCTGATTATAGAGCAGAGAAACCAAAGGTGTTCAGGCGCAGAGCGCTCCCTCTCAGAGGACTAACCTGAAAATGATCCTTGTATTGCCTACAAATGAAATATTTAAAACAATATTTTGATGCCCTGAGTTATACCTGACATATTTGTCGATTTTCACAGACGCTGGAGTGATTAGATTTGGGGGTCAGTTACTTTAAGGTCATCTGAAGACCACACATTTTAATTTCAAATAGAGGATGACAAACCTGATAAGCAAAACTTTATAAAATAAAAGGATATGAAATCAACTTACTCTACTAGTTGGTATGGGGAAAACTTTTGTATTAAGTCCTGTCATCTAAAGGTAGGGAACCTGGTGTTACAAGAGATAATTCTCCTGACAAATAACCTTGATACTTTAAGGCATCTAGAAAATGTATTGTAATAAACTACTGTAAACCATGGGTAGCATTTATTCTCAGCGAGGAGGGGCCAGAAGGCAAGGAGACTTTGGTTTGATGTTTTAAGAAATTAATTTGTAAAGAACATATTCTTAGGCATTCACAATAAATCTAGAAAAAAACCTGTACAATGAATGTGTGTGATGGCAGGAGTAGCAGGCAAGCGGTCACAACTGCAAAGAGTTAAACTATAAAGACAATGAAATGGCCTAGAAGTGCTTTAAAACTCAATTAAAATAAAACCAGTCCCTGTTAGTTTTTCCAATCCAGATTTAAGACTCATTCTGTATTATCTCTGCATATGAAAAAGGGTACAGCAAGTGAATTTTGAATTATCCTAACCCATTTTCTCAGCTATAGAAAATGCTGGCTTCCAGCCCAATGAATACAATAGCCACATGCTCAAGACCCTTAATTATCTAATTAATGCAGTGTCATTTTAGCAATTAGTTCAAATGACCATATGTAACCTTCCTCTTTATAAGATCAAAATTGTAAGTATTTTAAAAATACTTGTGATACCATGCCATTTCCTGCGCATTAAAGGTATACAACAGCAGTTAAAAACAGAAAATGACCAAGAAAGCTTTTAAATAATAAGAATTTTTTTTAATTAATTAAATAATAGTTAAAAAAACACACAAAAAACAACACACAACAAAACACCAAACCAGCTATAAAATGGGCAACAGCTGATTTTCATAAGATTAAGCTCATAAGATAATTTGACAGGTACCCTTTAGATATCTCCTAACTAGACTTGTCTTTGCATGGCCCTTGCTTTCAGTGGGACAGAGAATGCCAGCCCCCCCCCCCCCCCCCCCCCCCCAGAGCTAGCAAAGAGTTCCCAGGTGCTACTGTGCCTTAAACACTCTGCATTATTTAGAAGATTCCCTCACAAAGTCCTGGAGTTTTAACATTCTGAACTAAAGTTTATGGTTTGGAGTGAAATGGTGATGCTTTCCTTGGATCTCAGGGAGTCTTCAAGGCAGGCTAATTCAAATAAAAGGAAACTTAGTTTTCAAGTGCATACTGTTATGGTCCAGGTAAGGGGTTTAGAGATATTATAGCCTTATTTCATTCCTCACAACTACTTCATAAGGTATTTGTTTTCTGAGGAGGTGGGAACTCAAATATTTCTCAGCCTGTTTCTCCATCTGTAGAGAGAGAAGATCTCCCAGGCCCCACCAAATCTCCTATTCCACATGTCACACCTTAGGGAGCCTGAATGGCCTCCTCTTCTAAATTAGAATACCACCTCCACATTCCCATCCCTGCATGTTTCTGGAGGCTCTGGTCCCGCACCAGCCTCATTTTCTGCTGCGTCCTACATTATATTAATTAAGAGCAAACACTGCACTGCTCTGAGGATCCCACAGGCTTCCCTTCCTCTTATCCAGTGGTTCTCAACCTTCCTAATGCCGCGACCCTTTAATACAGTTCCTCATGTTGTGGTGACCCCCAACCATAAAATTATTTTCATTGATACTTCATAACTGTAATTTTGCTGTTATGAATCGTAATGTAAATATCTGATATGCAGGATGTATTTCCATTGTTACAAATTGAACATAATTAAAGCATAGTGATTAATCACAAAAACAGTATGTAATTATATATGTGTTTTCCGATGATCTTAGGCGACCCCTGTGAAAAGGTCGTTCAACCCCCAAAGGGGTCGCGACCCACAGGTTGAGAACCGCTGCTCTTATCCTTCTGTCTGGGAGGTTCCATACTTTGCCTGCCTGGTGACCTCTGTTCACCCTTATCTTAGCCGAGTTTTCACCTCATCCTTGGAGCCTACCCTGCCCCCCTTTCTCACTTCTTATTCTATGTACTCCATAACTTTAACATATTTCGGTCACACTGCTGCAATTTATTTAAGTATCTATTTCCTTAAATAAGCTGTGGGTTTCTAAGAACAAAGCAAAACCTGGTCTTTATCCCTAGTGCTTAAAAAAGCAACATCCATAAAGCAGGAGCTTCATAATTATTGCTGAATCATTAAATGGGTTAACAACTCCAGAAAAGAGACACAGAAAGAAAAACAGGACTGAGACTGGGAGAGTAAACATAATGGAGTGACTGACAACATGAAAGAAGAAATAAAGAAAAAGAAACCCCACAAAACTATGTAAAGGGCAGACAAAAAGTGCAATAGAGGTGTGATGTAACCTTATCATGGTTATTGCTTCTTTTGTGCTCTAGGTTTCTGAAAAGAAAGACATGTCAAAGCTATAATAGCATTAGAAGTGATATTCATTTATGAGGATGCACCCTCACCATTAAACCAGTTCACAAA